TTTTTTTTAATAACAATTTATTATTAAGAATAATATTAATACAATAAAAATGACAAGTTGAGATTCAACATTGGTTACACATGCAGGGGGTAAATACTTTGTACCCCTGAGATAAGGAGTAAGGTAAAACACATTAACAATTATACAAAACTATGTTGTTTCGAAAAGCGTTATAATATACAAACTGTGTACAACTGGAAAAAATTGTAAACATACCAATTGATTTCCTGAGAGACTTCCTATACATACCATAAGAGGTAAGAGATGTATGAGCAAAGATTTATAATTGTAGAATAACAACTGAGCGTTAAAATTAGATAAAGCTGAAGTATAAGGTGATTGGTTAAACATCCGTCTAAATAAAATAAATGCACATATAAAGAACAAAATGACGTTATGGATTAATTAAATCCATTTGATATAGTTCTTCCATTGAGGAGAGATGAATTCTTCGGACTCTAGAAAAGACAGTACTGGGAGCCATTTCGCAGTGAACTTAGAAACCAATGGGTGTCTGGCATTAGTGTTATGTTTGTCAGTAATGCTTTCCATCAAGAATTGATCCCATAATTTCTTGAACCAAACTTGGTCAGTGGGGGGGTTGGGGTCCTTCCAATATGACGCTATTGAAAGCCTTGCGGCATAGAGCATAATTTCTAGTGTGTCTCTGTAGTGATGTTGCTCGATGTGCTGAGGCCAAAGTCCTAATAATAAGAATTCAAGTTTAGCTAGCTCACCGTTTTTTAGCCTCCGGCTCACACATTTTTGTCTCAGCTCAGGGAAGGATGGCTCCAGAGCAAACTAATTTATGCAGTATCCAAATCGCTCGCTCACAACTTTAATGCCAGTAGCTCACAAAGTAGAATTTTTGCTCACGAGACTCCACAGCTTGGAGGGAACATTGCTCCTGAGCCTTAGAGACTTATACCTCCTCACCAGTGTTCCCTCTAAGCTGAGTTAGCGTGAGCTAGCTCACAGGTTTTTAGCCTCCGGCTCACACGTTTTTGTCTTCGCTCAGGAAGGATGGCTCCAGAGCAAACTAATTTATGCAGTATCCAAATCGCTCGCTCACAACTTTAATGCCAGTAGCTCACAAAGTAGAATTTTTGCTCACGAGACTCCACAGCTTAGAGAGAGCATTGCCCACGCTTTTGGCTTTTTCCGCCTCGTGAAACGGTACGAGCAGTGGGCTAGGGATGCCAGCCTCCAGATCAGTTCCCCTGGAGAAAATGGATACTTTGGAGGGTGGGCCCTGTGGCACTGTAGCCCACTGAGGCCCTTGTCCTCCCCAGGCTCCATCCCCAAATCTCTAGGAGTTTCCCTACCTGGATCTGGCAACCATAACCTTCCATCCCCCACCAGGGGCCAGGGGAAACCTGGCAAGCCTAAAATTCCTTTCCAGCTCAAGTATGCACCTTTAAAAAAAAAAAAAACCACATGCCAAAATTGGGAAATATAGGTGTATACGTGCTATTCACATGAAATGGCAGCCACGCCTGTTCTTTCTCTTTTGCAGAACTAGGTTGGGTTGTATTGCTCAATTTCCCACTATTTGCTGTGCGATGCAGCGGCATTTGGACCCGCATCCCCCCCCCGATTTCTCCCGCATCTTCTTGATCCTAAAAAAGAAGGGTCAAGAAGACGCGGGGGTATGGGGGGGGGAGATGCAGGTCAAAATGCGGCTGCGCGGCAAATAGTGGGAAGCGGGAACCAAGGGAAACGGGCGACCGAGGGCGGAACAACTGCTTTTGCGGAATTGGTCTTACTGTATTTTTCAACAGTGGCCAGGAGGACCTGGCAACCTTAGTATCTGCAGATGACTTTCGAAGCCAAATTCTTTGAAGAAATAGCAAAAAAACACATGTAACAAATCACTTAAACCCCCCCCCCCAATACACAAATTTAGCAGAACCAGTAGCCCCATATGCTGGAAAGGTTGCGGACAACTAGGGACTTACCTGCATTGCTGGTGGACCTGCCCCAAGATCCAACAGTTTTGGACAGATGTAAAACTACAGACGGAGAACATCATAGCTCAAAATATCCCTCTCACGCCAGAATCCTTCCTGCGGAACCACTGGGACGACTCCATCCAGGACCAAAAAAGGGATCTCATCTCTACTCTTCTGGCAGTAGCTCACTTATCCATTGCCGCTAGCTGGAAATCCCCAACAGCACCTTCCATAACAGCCTGGCAGGACAAGCTGTGGGAACATCTTGTTATGGCAAAAATTTCTGATTCACTCAAGATTTCACACTCAGACACAGCACATTCCTCCAAATTTGTGTCAACCTGGTACCCTGTTGTCTCCTACTTACAAGCTCTCGACATCCTCCCCCCCAACCCTCTCTTTCTTAAATGGCTAACCCTGTAGATTTGTATCTTCATTTACCAAAGGTTTTTGTAGTTGTAGGCACTGAATTGCGCTGTATCTTCGCTTTATGTTCTGTACGTCATATTAAAATCAATAAAGATGATTTAAAAACACACAAATGAACAGATAAATTTTGTTTGGACCACAAGAAGATCAAAAACAGAATGTCGCCAATCAAAAATCTTACATAAGCATACAGCATAGTACATTTTCAGAGGAGAACTTGGGCTGAGCACGTCTTGCTGAAAAGGCACATAAAGCCACCTTTTCTGCTTTAAACAGGTCATTGTTGGCAAGCAGGGATTGTATTTTTGTTGATTGGCTTCTAGGAGGCACACGGTCTCGAGGGCAGCTGAACGTCAGTGTGGGAAGAAATAAACACAGAGGGTGGAAGAGAAATTGGCTTGACTGACGGCGACATCTTAAGCCAACCTTCTAAACCCACTAATTTCATTTGACTTAAAAGGGTACAACTGTGTTTAGGATTGCGCCGCCAACCTTCAGCCACTCAAATTATAGTAGAGGAGAGGGATTAAGGATGGAGGGTACACGCCACCTAATGCAAGGTCCCCCAACATGGTGCCTATGGGCACTACGGTGCCCACCGACACCTTTCCTGGCACCGAGTGTTTTTAGAAAGTGGGCATGTCTAGGTTTCTAATTGGCCACTGGCAGGGCTTTGAATTGGCCACTGGAGCTCTGATTGGCTGCGCAGATTTTTAAATTAAAATAATATTTCAGCAGCACCTGTCACAGTGTTGGGTTTTATTCTCTCCTCTTTTACAGTGTATTTTTAAAAATTACTCCTCTCGTCCCTGTATTTGGGCTTCCATTTTGTGTGTTTCTGGAGCTGCGGTGGCTCAAGTGGTTAAGACACTGAACTGCAGGTTGTGGAAGGTCAGTAGTTCAGCAGTTCAAGACCCGGGTGCCGCATGATGGAGTGAGCTCCCATCTCTAGTTCCAGCTCCTGCCAACCTAGCAGCTCGAAAGCAAGAAATTGCAAGTAGATAAATAGGGACCACTTCGGTGGGAAGGGAACAGCATTCCGTGCGCCTTGGTGTTTAGTCATGCTGGCCACATTACCATGGAAATGTCTTCAGACAGCGCTGGCTCTTCGGCTTTGAAACAGAGATGAGCACTGCAACCCTAGAGTCGGATTCGACTGGCTTTCGAGCAAGGGAACCTTTACCTTTACCTTTTACCTTTGTGTGTTTGCCGTCTGCTGTGGCCATTTGGTAGCAGAACACAACACCCTGTTTCAGAATTCCAAAACTGCCCACAGGCTCAAAAACGTTGAGGGCCTCTGTCCTAACGGCTAATAAAATGAAGCTTAATCCTGACTATGGAAGTGCTACTGGTGGATAGAAGGCCTGACCCAGGATATAAGGTGTCACCAGTTCTGGATGGACCAAACAACAAGGAGGTACACAGTCTGAAAACCACACCCAACAAAAAAACGTGTACGAATAAAAAACGAACGTAACATATGATTTGTGAAATATAGAGCCAAAGAAAAAATACTACTACAAGTCCAAAATATGCACTTTATAAATACATGAAATATAAAGCAGTCACTCCAACTCCGACTATTCCATTATACATTAACAAGCTGTAAATAAACCCATTGGAGTTCACTTAGGATACACCTCAAATAATGCTTGTGTAGAGTCCAATTCTAGGTGAACCGATGAACCAAGATATCCTCTTCTCAGAACTAAAAAAGAAACATACTAACTTTTCTCCTTCATAGAGGGAAAAAGTTCACCCAGACATGTAATCTGGAGCTGGTATAGGGCAAAATTCTGGTGTTTAGGTTCCACAAAGCTTCACGCGTGTGCTAGATTAGTTACGCGTATCGCCGCCGCTTTTTCAAAAGAAGAACCTATAACGTAATTTGTTTATCTTCTACAGTTTCGGGACGTTATTGCAGCCTTTCAGCCGGCGCACAGAATTTTCCAGTTATTTATTTATTATATTTATGCCCCGCCCATCCTGCAAACAGGCACAGGGCGGCTGTCCTGGATGGGGCTGCACTTCCCTTGAA